GCATCCTAGAACGGCTCCAGTTACTGAAGCATTTAGGAGGCTGCTTAAACCTTATTATTTCTGCCTTAACTTCCTAGGTACAGGATTCTGATATGTCTATCATGGAATTAAGCATCCTAATTCCTCCAACTATACTCTTTAAAATAATACTCATTGGGTTTTCTCCTCATTAAAAAAAGCTTTACACTTTTATTTTAGAAAACATAAAGTATAATGAAGAAAATAATGAGCACTTTTAAACCTACCACACAGAGGAATCTACTAATAAAATGTTACCATTATTCTTTCCAGTCTTTAAAGAATAAGGTTGGAATTATGATATTTATTCCATTAGATATAATTTTATTCCTATAACAATAAACCATGAGTGTTTCCTGTATCTTTAAATGATTTTCTAAAGCAGAGTTTAACCTACTAATCCAACCTGCCACCTGTCTCTATAAATAAAGGTTTCCTGTACCACAGCCACATCCCTTTGTGTATGTCCTACCTACGGCTGTTTCTGCACTGCGATGGCAGAGGGGAGGAGCTGTGATAGAGGCAGTGCCACCTGAAAAGCTGGAAATATTTACTATCTGGCCCTTTACAAAAAATGTTTGCCAACTTCTGTTTTAAAAGATTATTTTAATAACACTTAGAACTGCATCAAGTGGCTACCATTTGATAGTTAGAAGCACGATGCTGGGGTCACATTGTCTGGGTTCCTAACCTCGCTCCACCACTTAAGAGATATCTTGGGCAGGGCACCTGGGTGGCTCAGTCAGTTAAGTCAGTTAAACATCCGACTTCTGATTTTGGCTCAGGTCATGATCTCAGGATTGGAGATTGAGCCCTGCATCGGGCTCCATGCTGGCTGTGGAGCCTGCTTAAGATTCTCTCTCCCTGGGCACCTAGTGGCTCAGTCAGTTAAGCGTCTGCCTTTGGCTCGGATCATGATCCCAGAATCCTGGGATGGAGCCCCATGTCAGGCTCTCTACTCAGCAGGGAGTCTGCTCCTCCCTCTCCCTCTGCCTGCCCCTCCCCCTGCTTGTGCTCTCTCTCTCTCTCTCTCTCTAATAAATAAATAAAACCTTAAATAAAAAAGATTCTCTCTCCCTCTCCCTTTGCGTGTCCCCTTATTCCTCCCTATGCCCCTCCCTCCATTCCCTCTCTCAAAAGAAAAAGAGTGAGATCTTGGGCAATCTACTTAACATTTCTGTGCCTCAATTTTCTCATTCGTAAAAGAGGAAAAATAACAGTATCATCCTCGTAAAATGTGATGAACATGTGAAGTCCATGATGCACCTCCTCAATGTCCCCCTTCAGTAACGAATGACTTAGTCCTTCAGCTGCTGGGAAAGTTGTCAGCAGATGGCCTTCGGCTGGCAGCCATCTTTGGGGACTGCCTTGACAGAGAAAACTGCCTCACTCAAAGCCACTTGTCATTCAAGGGACAGGTCACATTAGTGACATATCCACATCAGTGGGGTAGTATGCAGTCCTGAATCCCATGTCCCAACTCAAGACAACTCTGGAGGGCCAATCCAGTTTCAAAGTTTCTCATGGATTGGCTGAGGCCTTTGTTGGTATTGAATCACAGCTCAGCTCCTCCCTCTGTCCCGTCCTGCATCTTCTTCCTTCCTTCCACTGGGTTGATCCCAACCCTCCTTCATAAGTATCCTACATCCCAATCTCCATCTTGAAATATGGTTCCAGGGCACCCAACACGAGACAATGTTAAATGAGCCTATGTTGTAAAGCATCTGGCACGTAGTAGATACTATGTAATTGATTTGGGAGTCCGCTAGAATACTTTTCAAAGACCACTATTTTAAGATATCTCAGATCTTCTCATCCACAACCTGTGTAAAAAGATTACCTAAGCCATGTCACATGTTTCCAGGGCCCTAATTTCCCCTTGATACCTAAAAGCAAAATTTGCTCTCACGTCCACACTGATTTTGTGCAGACTGATTAGTTGGAAATAAAGGGAGTTGGGATTAGCCAGTCACAGACTCCACAGAATGTTCCAATAGTAACTGAACTGCTGCTAAGGGCAGCAGTAAATAAGAAGGAAATAAGCAGTTCTTCATCTGTTGTCGCTTATTGGTTTAAAACCACAACAAACATCTTATCCTGGATTACACAACATGCATGAAGGAGCTTAGAAAGAACAATATCTTGTTAAGGACACAAAAGTTTAAATTAAAAAACAAAACAGAAAACCACAAGACTGAACTATAGCAACTCTGGCATCCGTTACAAAATCCATGTTTGATAAAGTCAAGTAGTGTAACCTCAGAGCAGTGTGTTAAGTTCTCTGACACAGTTTAATCTTCTAAAAACTATAATGCACTCTCCCACTCAGTAACTATTTTTGAATACCTATCATGCAGTAGGAGCTATAGGAAATCCAGAGTTCTATACTAAAAGTTCACTACTCACAAGGAAAATGCCATCTGTCATTTTCTAGACAGCAGGAAGGGAGAAGAGGAAGTGAATGGCAAGGAGCTTCTCTTCTACGGAATCCAGGTTTACCAACAAGGAATACCATTTAGTGGAGAAGGGGAATGGATTTCCAAGAATGAGAAAAGCGTCACTTATCGCTCTAGGGATTCTAGAGTGCAAGGAACTGGTGGCAGCATGAGAATACACTTTCACAAAAGCTTGGATGGAAAAGGAAGGAGAGAAAAATATATTAGCTGGAGAAAAGTGTAGAGGAAGATAGTGTTTTAGTATTTATCAAACAAATTTTTATTGAGCACATATCTGTGCTATGCACTGTTTTAGGTTCTGGAGATTAAGCAGAAGATAAAATAGATGGAGTCCCTGTGTATGAGGGAATAGGCCAAGGTGCTATAACAGGTCCCAACAACAGCAATTTTTAAAAGAACACAGTTTATTTTCTCTTGTGTAATGGTCCAGATGTCTATGGTTGATCCAAAGGAGGAGGTAGCTTGACTTTCTGAATTAGACTGGGACTTAGACTAATGGGGAAGTTCTGTCGCCCATAATACATGGCCTCCATTTCTATACCGTATTTCTTTTTGCCATTTTCCAGACAGCTGGAAGGCGGAGGAGGAAGTAGATGTCAAGCAGCTTCTCTTTTAAGGGACAGGATCCATTTCTGTTCATATCTCATTGGTCACAACTTTTTGATATAGCCATACCTAGCTGAAAGGGAGGCCCTTCAAGGAATCGTCCTCTCTAACTGGGTCACCAAGTGCCTTGCTAACATTTGGGGTTGGAGGTATAATGGAATGAAAACTGGTGATGTGGAGCATATATTCAAGAAGGGGAAGACAACTATAGGCAAGTAAAGAGCAGTTTTGATGAAGAGGTGGCATGAAGGCCTGAGAAGACTAAATTCGGGGGAAAAGAGGAGAATGTAGGATTAGAGAGAGCCAGTATGTCCTTCTTCTTAGAGGATAAAAATGGCAGTGACTTAAACATATGTTGAACATATGTAAAGAAGCAGTAGAAATGGAGAGGTTTAAGACACACAGAAAAGGAGAAATTGATGGTGCAAGGTCCCAGAAGAGGAGAAACATATAGGGTCCCTCCTCTTCCTCTGTGTCAAGTAGAAGAAGGTAAGAATGGGAGTGAATGATGATGTTGGGGGCAGGAAAGAGAAAATAATAGGAAGCTCTGAGGAATTCCTATCTAATAGCTTAAATTCTTTCTGAAGTAGCAAGCAATGTCACGTCCTGAGGGCAGACTATGTATCCGGTAGAACGGATAAGGAAGAGACTTGCATTGATCTAGAAATTTGGGGCCGAGGCCTGAACCATTGAGATGATGGGCAAGATAGCGTTTGAAGTGGTGAATCTATGGTATCTCCCTGCAGCTGTACAGAACTTTCTTCGGCCTCCAACTTCTCCAAAGGCAGGAATGAATTATGGGAACCAGAAACCTAGAATCCTCTTTCCCGCTCACTCTCTTAAGTCAATCATCAAGCTCTGTTTATTCCATCTTGTCAGTATCCCCCACACACTTCTCTCCACCCCCACTCTCCATACCACCGGTAGTTTGGATTACCATGATCTCTCACTGGGATGCTTACGCTGTCCTTCCCTTTCCTCCCTGAAAAACTGATCACACCACTTGCCTAGTTAAAAACCTTCTGTGCCTGCGCCATTGCCTGTAAGAAAAAGTCCACCCAAACTCACTAACCTCGTTTCCAAATGCCTTTCTGATACAGCATCTTAATTTCTCCCCACTTCCTCTGCTCATCCATCCATACTTCACTGCTTCCCCATTGAGATGCCATCCCTCCTCGACCTGCACTTGCTCTTCCTCTGCCTTTAGAAGGCTCTTCTCTCCCAACCTCCTCCGCTGTTCCCTTTCCCATTTAATCCCATATTCATCCTTCTTGTGTCAGCCTAGTGGTCCACAAGAAAGCGCCCCTGACCTCCTAACACTAAGGGGGCGCCCCTCCTGTGGAGCACTGTATTAGCCCTAACAAGGTAACACTGTTTTCTGCCGGGACCGCGTCTTTTTTGTCACTCCAGTGTCCCCAGCATTCCAGCAATGTGCTAGGTACACAATAGGCACTCAAGATGTGTTTGTGGAATGAGCGAATGAATGAATAAATCGTGAACCACATACCCTGGAGTTTCTACTGCATCGATGGCCTGCAATAAATGGTTAATGGAAATTTAAAGTAATCAAATGAGCCAAAGTGTATGTAGTACTAGAGATAATGCATTTCTAGTACTAGAGAGGCTGTGCCCGGGATACCTCCCGCAGGCGCGCGTGCCCGGGATACCCCGGGCAGGCCGCAGGGGCGGGGCCACCGGGGGTGCACGGGAGCGCTCGGCCGGAAGGCGGGGCCTCCGAGGCAGCAGCCCCGCCCCAGGGCGGTGCGACTCCCCGACGGCCAAAAGGCGGGGCTCACGGTCGGGGAACTCCCCTTCCAAAACCGAGGCGCGTCCGTGCGTCCCGAAGGCGCGCGGTGTTGGGGTCTTAGGCCCCGGCCGGGTGACCCAGGTTACTGGCCGCGCCGCCGCGGCCGCCATCTTGCCCGCGTGCGGACTCCCACGGCGGGAGGGGCGGTGACCAGGCCGGAAGTGGCTGTGCAGCGGCCGCGCTGCCTCCTCAGGTCAGTGAGTTGTGGTTCGGGCCGCGTCTAACCATTCCCGACGCTGAGGCCCGGTGCATGGGCTCGGGTGTGCCGGGGTCACCGCGAGGGGCCCGGGAAAGCCCAGTTAAAAGGCCTGGTCGGGGGCCGACCCGAGGGCCTCCTCGGAGCAGTGGCGCGGGGCGTACCGTTCCGCGCTGCGGGATAACCGCGTCGGGCGGCCGGCCGGGCCTAGCAGGGAGCCTTGGAGCTGCGGGCGGACCTCCTCCCGGGCGCTGGGTCGGCCCTGCAGCCACACGCGCGGCGAGTTCGTGCGGAAGCGCGTGTCCTGGCGTTGGACGGGAAGCTCAGCCAGGTGTCTGGAGCGTGGGAGTGGCCCTCAGATTCCTGCTTTACCCGGAATAGCAACGAGCCGTGCTGTAGCTGTACTCTATAATACCTCCTAAAGGGCCTGTCACCGGGTTAGCTGTGCTTTGTGCTTGTACGACTAATGAAAATTCCGTAAGAGGATGAATAAAGCCATTCACGTGTGCCCACAAGCATTGCTAAATTGCTTAGCAAATGACTGCATTTACAGGCCTTTTATATAACTATATTTTTAAAGGAAATTTATGCAGTGCCTCTCCTTGAAGATGGTGAGGATGAAAATTTCTTTACTGTTGTTACTGTCATAGTAAGAAAAGTAGAAGACAACAACAAAGGGATGTGAAAGGGTAGTTGGGTACCTTATACACTTAGTATTATGGATCGTCACTGTCCAGTAGCCACACGGGGTTGAGATGTGCTGTAAATGTAAAATGCACATTGAATTTATAAGACTTGGCACCAAAGAAAAAAAATTCTCAATAATTTTTTACATTGATTACATGTGGAAAAGGGTATGTTTTTGATATGTTTGGTTGAATAAAATATATTGTTTAATTTCATCTCTTTTTCAATGTGGCTACTAGAAACTTTTAAATCATGGCTAACACTGTATTTTTGTCGGACAGTGCTGTTAAAGATATTCTGGTGAAGAATACAGAATCAACGTGGCTTTCCTTTGCCCAGAAACCATTGATGGGAAGTGAACTCTTGTTAAACTTGAAGGTGAGGATGTAAATATAAGCTGTAATTATTGCAGATTTCACCCCTTCTCCCACTTTTCAGTATCTCCAACATTTGAAAACATTAACTTCCAGGGCTGCTTAAGGAAATCATAGTGATACTAATAGATGTGTGATGTGAAGAACTCAATTTGTCACAACTTTGTGAGATGGAGGTAGGGTGGGTTCTTTCTCTTATTTTATAGTCTTGGTGTATTAACAGACTTTAAGTTAGAGTCTAGCCAATGAGTGTTTGGAGGTCCTCTGACTCGTTTCAATTTTCTTTGCTCTTCACCATATTCCTAGTCATCTCTGTTCATGAGCCAAGATCTGTCTGTATTTTGTGTTGGATTGTAAAGAAATATATTTCTTAAAAGGGTGCTTATGGATGTACCTCTCTCTTCAGGGCCAGCTTTGTGTTATGCAACCTGTGCAGTCATATAAGGCCCATCGTTTAGAAGGGCTGGTACTTGGTTTACTGCTTTGTTGTCACCACCTTGAAATTCTTAATAATTTTTGAATAAGGGGGCCCTGTATTTTCATTTTGCACTGGACCATGCAAATGATGTAGTTGATTTTTTATTCTGCAGTAATCTAGGTTGGGAGTTGGGAGGTGTTGGACAAGAACTAAAACATCTGGTCTTCACTTTACTCCTATGTGAAACGAGAAGGGCTTGCCAGTCTCTCTCCAGTTTTGTGATTCTGTATGAATTACTGTAATCAGATTTTGTGGCTGGTAATATAAACATTGTACATGCATAATAACATTAGGAGAAATGCTGATAGTCCTCCATTGAGAGTCATGCAAATCAAAGACTTTTTAAACTATAGTAACACTTTATTACTTTTTTTATGGTGGATTTTTCCATGTGCCATCCAGTTTTCTTATAGATCATCCATGTAAAGAATATGATTATAGGGTGGAGGCCTATATTAAAAGTGTGATTATTTGAGCATTTATGTTTTGATAAGAAAAGAAGATAGCCCAGATCTCCAGATACCTCCATTTAAGAGGTTTCCTCTGTCTGTGAAGACGTGAGTGTGAACCCTTACTTGACAGTATCTGTTCCTTCTTTTTGTTGTCTTAACTACGTCCTATTGCATGAGGTGCCTCTTCCTTCTCATTCCTAAATTTTTAACTTCTCTTTAAGATTGCACATAACTTCAGCATTAGAATGCAGGCTTTATTAGATCAGTTTATTAGACTGCTTGGGCTGCCATATCAAAAGACCATAGAGTAGGTGGCTTAAATAGAAGAAATTTATTTTCTCACAGTTCTCACAGTTTGGAAGCCCAAAATCAGGGTGCCAGTGTGGTCTGGTTCTGGTGAGAGTTCTTTTCTTGGCTTATAGATAGCTGCCTTCTCACTGTGTCCTCACATGGTGGAGAGCTCTGTTATCTCTTCCTCTTTTTATAAGGGCACCAGTTCTATCAGTTTAACACTCTACCCTTATGACCTCATTTAACTCTCATCACCCCCTGAAAGGGTCTTTCTCTAATACGTCACATTGGGGATTAGGGCTTCAACAGGAATTTTTGGGGGGACACAGTTTAGTCTATAGCAACCAGGGAGCTTATCTTTCTTGGTTCACTACCATGTTCTTAGCATTTAGAACAGTTTTTAGCACATACACTATGCTCAATAAATATTTACAGAATAAATGAAAGACAGGTATTAGAGTGATCCTCTCTTAGAGTGGCTCATTGTGGGCTCTTGCCCATATTGGAACCAGTTGTGACAGTGGGCACTTTGCTTTTGGCTGAAGCCAGTCTCTACTAGGAAGGGTAAGGTGTGGAAGCATGAGGAGATTGGTAAAACTTGGACATAGCAGTGTGAGAAATGTCAGATGGAACATTTAACAAGTAATTATTAAGTGCCTGGCCCTAGGCTGGGTATCAGAGGTGTAAATGGAGAACAAGATACTTTCCCTGCTTTTACGGCATTTATAATTTCGTAGGAGAGACAGGGTGATATAAAGGAAGGAATACTGTTCGCTGAGAGTACTATCTAAGTAACCTAACAGACCAGGGAGGGGATAGAGGATATTTGATGTCAACCATGATGTTTAAGAGATGGTCAAGCATGTGTTAATTTGGCCTAGAAGGGAGGGAAGAGTGCTCCATTTGCAAAGTAGTGATGGAGGGCAGAGGGAGATTACATTCTAGGAACTGAAAAGAAGAACACCACAGCTAGAACATAGCAAGGAGGAAAATGGTGTGCCTTGATGCCAAAGCAGTAGGTAGAGACCAAAGCATTTAGGATTTTATAGGTTATATTGAAGATTTGGAACTCTATACTAAGAGCAGTTGGAAACCATTAGAGGGCTTTAAGTAGGGATTGTATAACCTGGCTAAGTTTCGTTTTAGAAAGGTCCCTGTGATATTACGTAAAGATGAATTTCATAAAGGCCTGAGTATACAAATGAGTAAAAGAATTGCTGAATCAACACCATAGGCCAAGCATATTGCATACTTTAATTTCTTATGGAATCAGTCCTCAGAGCTGTGAGACTTGGCAGCCTGAGTGGAGGAAAGAAGAATAAATAATTGGGTTGATCTAGGCTTGGGGAAGGCAAACTGAAAGTGGCAAAGAAATGAAGAAATTGAGGGTCTAGTAAAAATATAATAGAAATGATTGATCTTGAGCATCAGACCTCTTAAGGAAGGAAATAAACCAGTATAAGAATTCTTAGAAGTTTTTCCTAGTCATCTAAATTGTATGAGTATATTGAATTCTGGACTGGTAATTCCTGACTGAAAGTTTTACAAGATCAAAAAGTAAAGCATGTTTGAGCTGAGTTTATTTAGTGTATCTATATTAGGAGTCTGAGCGTGGCTCTACATCTGGTACAGGGGATCAGGGGATGAATGAATCCATAGCTTTACCTTTTAATAACTGACAACATGGCTGTACAGATTCTAATTGCCATGAAGATACTAAATGTCTTTGTCCTTTTTTAATCCAGACTATAACCTCTAGACAGAACTGGTTAGAAACAGACATTCAAATTTTTAAGTAACTTTTGCTTTTAAAATACCATTTCTTTTAATTTTTTTTAAGATGTATTTATTTAAGAAAGAGTGTGTGCATGGGCACACGTGCAAGTATGGTTAGGGGCAGGGGGAGAGAACCTTCAAGCCGACTTCCCACCTGAGCGTGGAGTCTGAAGGGGGCTTGATCTCATGACCCATGAAATCATGGCCTGAGCCAAAACCAAGAGTCAGTCACTTTAACCAACCGAGACACCCAGGCACCCCTGAAATACCACTTTTAACATAGCTATTTTTAGTTTGTGTTTAAATGATTATCATCTTTTCAAAATTCCATGTCAATATTAAAGTTTATAGAATTGAAAACTGGAAGAGCCTTTAATGATCACCTAATTCGTTTCCCAAATGCAGTGTGTGTACCACTGGTCATAAACAGGATGATTTTAGGTAAAACATAATCAAGCATTTTTTAAAAATTCCAATATAGTTAACATATCAAGCATTTTAGGGGTGCCTGGGTGGCTCAGTCATTAAGTGTCTGCCTTCAGCTCAGGTCATGATCCCTGGGGTCCTGGGATTGAGCCCTGCATCGGGCTCCCTGCTCAGTGGGGAGCCTGCTTCTCCTCTCCCTCTGCCCCTCCCTACCACTCGTGTTCTCTCTCTCTCTCAAAAAAATAAATAAAACCTTTAAAAAAACATAATAAGCATTTTAATAGTTACTCATTTATTTTAATGTGTCTTAGAAAAAAATATTTAGCATACCATACCTATGATTCATGGACTTCAGGTTGAGGTTAAAATCAATTCTGATTTTAAAAATAGTCCCTTTAAATAAAAATATTGAATAAAAATAGGTGGTACATGAATGAAGTTTGGGAAATAATAATCTAAACCAACTCTTTTGCTATATAGAGGAGACAACAAAAGGACCCCTGATCACAAAGGCCCTTCTGTGGTATGTAGGTAATATATGAGAGGGATAGAAGTTAACTCTATTCAATACATGCTACTGTTTATTCTGCCATATAGGGTTGCTTCTTACTGTTGAAACTTGAGGAAGAGACCTCTGTCTTAATAGTGGCATTGTACTTTAAATCTTCATTGTCTGTTATGGTGGCCACATGTGGCTATTTATATTAAAAATAAATGAAAAGTAAATAAGATTTAAAATTTGTATTAGTCACATTTCTTGTGCTTGCTTAGCCACATGTGGCTAGTAGCTACCCTATTGGACAGTACAGCTAGAAAACATTTCTATCACTGCAGAAAATTCTGTTGAGGGGCACCTGGGTGGCTCAGTTGTTAAGCGTCTGCCTTCAGCTCAGGTCATGATCCCAGGGTCCTGGGATGGAGCCCTGCATCGGGCTCCCTGCTCAGCGGGAAGCCTGCTTCTCCCTCTCCCACTCCCCCTGCTTGTGTTCCTTCTCTCGCTGCGTCTCTCTCTGTCAAATAAATAAATAAAATCTTTAAAAAAAAAAAATCTGTTGAATAGTACTGCCGTAAACTGTTGCTAAAAACATGATTCATAACCCTTTAAAGTTTTATACCTTTCAAAGAGATGATGCTTATTAATTTGCTCACCATACTGAAGTTCTGTTAACCCTGAGGTTAATGAAGTTACTAGTAACAGTGCAATTAAAATAATTGATCGTGGGAAATAAGGCCAAAATGTAGTTCTCAGAATCTTAGCACCTCATCTTATTGGGGGAAGTTCTTTTTCCCTTTTTAGTCAATAAATATTGTCATGAATTCATAGCAGTTAGAATAAATATATTGAAAGACAGAGTACTCGTATAATTTCCTGATTTTCCGAGTAGTTTATTCATCTTAGAATTGTATTTTGTTAAGATTTTAAAACTTTTTACTTTTAAACAGATTTTCAGTGAATGGACCTAACTGGACTCTTTGAGCACATCAATAAACATGAGCGGTACCAAACCTGATATATTGTGGGCACCACACCAAGTTGATAGATTTGTTGTATGTGACTCTGAACTGAGCCTTTATCATGTGGAATCTACTGTGAATTCAGAACTCAAAGCTGGATCTTTACGTTTATCTGAAGACTCTGCGGCTACATTACTATCAATAAATTCAGATACGCCATATATGAAATGTGTTGCCTGGTATCTCAATTATGATCCTGAATGTCTCCTAGCAGTTGGACAAGCAAATGGTAGAGTTGTACTTACAAGTCTTGGTCAAGATCATAACTCAAAATTCAAAGATTTGATAGGAAAAGAATTTGTTCCAAAACATGCACGACAATGTAATACCCTTGCGTGGAATCCATTGGATAGTAACTGGCTTGCTGCTGGGCTAGATAAACATAGAGCTGATTTTTCGGTGCTGATTTGGGATATTTGCAGCAAATATACTCCTGATATAGTTCCCATGGAGAAAGTGAGACTTTCAGCAGGTGAAACTGAAACAACATTATTAGTAACAAAACCTCTTTATGAATTAGGACAAAATGATGCTTGTCTCTCTCTTTGTTGGCTTCCACGAGACCAGAAACTTCTCCTTGCTGGTATGCATCGTAACTTAGCCATATTTGATCTTCGGAATACGAGCCAAAAGATGTTTGTAAATACAAAAGCTGTTCAGGGAGTGACAGTAGACCCCTACTTCCATGATCGTGTTGCTTCCTTCTATGAAGGTCAGGTTGCAATATGGGATCTAAGGAAATTTGAGAAGCCAGTTTTGACTTTGACTGAGCAACCAAAGCCCTTAACAAAAGTAGCATGGTGTCCAACTAGGACTGGTCTGCTTGCCACTTTGACAAGGGATAGTAACATCATTAGATTATATGATATGCAGCACACACCCACTCCCATTGGAGATGAAACTGAACCCACAATAATTGAAAGAAGTGTGCAACCTTGTGACAATTACATTGCTTCCTTTGCTTGGCATCCAACCAGTCAAAATCGAATGATAGTTGTAACTCCCAACCGAACAATGTCTGACTTCACTGTTTTTGAAAGGATATCTCTTGCCTGGAGCCCAATTACATCTTTAATGTGGGCTTGTGGTCGTCATTTGTATGAATGTGCAGAAGAAGAAAATGATAATTCTTTAGAAAAAGATATAGCAACGAAGATGCGCCTTCGGGCTTTATCCAGGTACGGACTTGATACAGAACAGGTGTGGAGAAACCATATTTTAGCTGGAAATGAAGACCCACAGCTCAAATCGCTCTGGTATACCCTGCACTATATCCTTTTCATTATGAATTTCATGAGATGAATCAGGTAGAAATGTTCTTAAAATTTGCTGAAAGATCAGTTTGTAAATTTTATTCTGAATGTTTTATATGCAAATACAAGTTACATAATGCTAAAATTACAAAGTAAAAATTATTTAAAACTGTTGAACTTGAAATACTGCTTTACAGATCGTGTAGAAGGAAGAAAAGTTTATCTCTGCAATAAAGTAGGACCATCTTACTTTGGCTGACACCTATTATGAATTGGCTCCAAATCAAAATAAGTTTAGCTTTGAAATATGTTGTTATGCATCATCATTAGTATTTCCTATGCATTTAAATACTTATGAAGCAGTATACAGAAGATATGGATCAGAAGTCTCCAGGAAACAAAGGATCATTGGTTTATGCAGGAATTAAATCAATTGTAAAATCATCTTTGGGTAAGAAAATTCTATTTTATTTTCTAAAGTATAATTTTTGTACTGTTATTTTTCCCCCTCTATCCCCATCATTTAGTTCAGAATAATATGCATAAATTTTTTTTTTATTGATTTGGGGGGTTTCTCGTTAGATATTTTAGTGAATTGTTAAGTGCGTATTTTATATCCAGAATTCTTTTTCGGGGGGAGTCTTGATTCATTGAAGTGATACAGTCTTTCTAATCTATTCATTTATTCAGTGTTATTTTTTTTGAAGACCCACTTTGAGAGGTTTTACATTAGATGGTTTATAGGATCCTGGTTGTTAGTTTGGATGTTATCACAGTATTTTGCTTTTATAAAAGCTAAATAAAAAGACCTAATTGAGGGAGATCTCTTTATTCTGCTGCCCAAATGCTTTCACTTAGCTGTTTAATGGCAAGGTCTGGGTAACTATGTCATGAAGTATGGCCTTACCTGAAGGAGCCTTACCTGAAAGAGTCCTTGATGATTCAATGATTATATGAGTCAATGCAGGGTTGAAATTGATCAACTGTTTGAGAATAAAGATGACAAAAGAGCCAAACTTAGTTTTTCACTGAACAGTTATTCTTACTGTTTTTTATTGGAATGGAATTGTGCATTATACTATAATGCTTTACCCAACCTAGGATTCAGTATCTAGCTTTTGACAGCAATCAAATATGGGCCCAAGTCAAGCTGCTAGAAAAGTTTATATTATTTAGTCAGAGTGGCAGTTCAAGTAATTGGTCTTTAATAGGATTTTCATAAATACTATACAAATAATACAAAATACAAAAAATAACATGCAATTTTCTGCCATCCTACAAGAACTATAATTATTAACAACATTATGAACACTTCTCCACAAGACTATACTAGACATTTATCAAACATTAATTGTTCTTCCCGTAGCTCTTTTTGATATCTCAAGGAACTGTTCAACTTAACAACATGTAAAGTATGTTTTGTTTGTAGCATATTTTACATTTATGCTGTCATGAATTTTTAGTTAAGTCAAATATCCAAAGTACGATGTTGAAATAATCTCTGTGTAAAACTGACTTATTTTCTAAATATATTTCAAAAAAAAATAATAAAGCAACTAATATAAAAATACTTCTCCTTTTAGGAATGGTGGAAAGCAGCAGACATAATTGGAGCGGTTTGGATAAGCAAAGTGATATTCAGAATTTAAATGAAGAGAGAATCTTAGCTTTACAGCTTTGTGGGTGGATAAAGAAAGGAACGGATGTAGATGTAGGGCCATTTTTGAATTCCCTTGTACAAGAAGGGGAGTGGGAGAGAGCTGCTGCCGTGGCATTGTTCAACTTGGATATTCGACGAGCAATCCAAATCCTGAATGAAGGAGCATCTTCAGAAAAAGGTATTAGGTTATAGTCTAAGATAATCATAGTTCGTAGAAGGCTTTAAAGAAAAGATGCTGATAGGGCGCCTGGGTGGCTCAGTTGGTTGAGCGACTGCCTTCGGCTCAGGTCATGATCCTGGAGTCCCGGGATCGAGTCCCGCGTTGGGCTCCCTGCTCAGCGGGGAGTCTGCTTCTCCCTCTGACCCTCTTCCCTCTCGTGCTCTCTGTCTCTCATTCTCTCTCTCTCGAATAAATAAATAAAATCTTTAAAAAAAAAAAAAAAGAAAAGATGCTGATAACTTTCAAATATTTAGTCAATGTATTTGTGTAAATTTTTTTGAAAGAGAACACAGAACTGTATCTATGGAAGTATTAACCCATCCCTTTTGTTTATGCCTTTGTGTCTGTAAAGAACATAATGTGTCTATAAAGACAAAATGTGTCTTAAGTACCGTTTTAATAATATTACAGTGAATGCTCAAATGCATCCATTTTTAATGCTTTTTCTTTAAAAGACAATTCACATTTTTAAAAAACGTATTTTCTTGAAGATTAGGACTACTTCAGTTTGCAAGCATTCTTTTGTTTGTTTGCAAGCATTCTTATGGCAAACATTTGAGAGTATTTTTACTTCATCTTTTGGATGGTTATTGGTTGGCTTTTAGGAAACTCTAAATGACACTTTTAGTTAGGCTAATACAGAGTATTATAAAAATCATACTTTGAGCTGCAAAAATGCTTCTACTTGAGTCTGGTGATTTAAACATACTTTCCATTTAATATTTTTTTAAAAGGAAGAAACAGTGAAATGTGATAAAGTTTTTACTCTGACATTTTGCAGGAGAATACTCAGGCAAGTAAATTCAATCGAGAAATTAAGTTTTTTTTCTTATCAGGAATATTTCACTTGAAAATAAGATGTATTTATATAGCTATTGATTTTTAATACACCTAGCAAATTATTTCTGGTATTCAGAATGCTTAATTTTTAACCTGCTGGTCCATTTTGAAACCATTACAGTTCTGTTGTACCATAGAGAAAAGCATGAAATAAACTATAACGTATTTACTTGCAGTAAAAAAGTTGAAAAAGCTAATGTTTTGCCCAGACTGGCCTCCTTTCCTTCACTTTTGCTCTAATGTAAGTCTTCCCCATTTGAGAGTACAATAGAAGATAAAGTGGCAATGAAAAAAAGAATTTGATATTTAAAGCCATTTCTAATTATAATTTTGCTACGACCTAGGAGCATGATACTTTCCTGTCATGTATACCTGGAAAATTTGGTGTTAGATTTGAATACCTATACTATCAGTAGGGGAAAAGTATCTTTCCTGTGATTTCAGTAACTTTAAGGACTAAAGAAAAGATTTCACTGAGTCAGATGTTCCCTCCAGTTGGAAATAAACTGTTTTGAGCAGGATTTAGGAAGACATTCCTTTGTTGTGGTGGTGGTCGTTGTTAATCTTAAAAGACTTTATATCCAATTTAGGAGAATAGGCAGAGGAAGCGCAAACAAAGCAACTTGGGGAAAGTGTTTATAGAAATGAAGAACAAGGCCATTTAATAATATAAAGTGGGAAATGCTGTTTTATTTGGAAAAGAAAGAAAATGATTAGAATCCAGGAACAGAATAAGAAAACTGCTATAATAAATGTACAAAATACTTAAGAGTAAAAGTTAAAAGTGTATTTAGTTTTTTCTTGAAGGTGAACTTATGTTAGAAGGCTAGCCAGTCCATAGGGCTGACTGCCAGGTTAGCCGCTTATCAGTGACTATATAAACTGCTAAGAACTAATGTTTAAAAGATTATTGATAACAAATACTTTGTTGCAAATGTGTCCACATACAATGCTATGGTAATGCTTGTAGTTAATTTTGTCCTAGAAAAATTAAAAGTCTTAAACTATTATAAGAATACTGAAATACTGGTTTTCAGAACATATACTTAAGTATGAGCATTATATACTTAGGAATAGGAAAACAAAATAATTTTGAAAATTATAGTACCGAGGTACAGTAATATTTACTGTCAACGCTTTGAAATATGTCAGCATAAATGAACTTGATAAGGCTGACAATGATTCTGGTAATATGGCTTCACTTCTCTTCATTTAGGCCCTAAACAATAACACTGTATAGGAACTGCCTGGAATGAGAACTTGAAAATTTATTTTTTTTTAGAACTTGAAAATTTAAATGTAAAAATTTAAACTGCTTGTCTTGCACAGGGTTAGCAATATGGGCAAAAGTTTTATAAGAATGGACATTTTTGCCTGTGGTCCTTGCCAAATTTTCCAATCTGGATCAAAACCCTTAATTCTAGTGGGCTTATTTTTCTTTAGGTAAACGTCACCCTCTGGTCTTTGTTTATGGTTTAAGAACTGGAAGAGGAGGTATTAAGGTTTTGCTCACTTTGATTAGCTGACTGTTTTTAATGTGCAGGTGATCTGAATCTCAATGTGGTAGCAATGGCTTTATCGGGATATACGGATGAGAAAAACTCCCTTTGGAGAGAAATGTGCAGCACTCTACGACTACAATTAAATAACCCATATCTGTGTGTCATGTTTGCATTTCTGACAAGTGAGACAGGATCTTATGATGGAGTATTGGTAAGCTAATTTCTGTTTGAGAAGACTCCTTTTAAGTTAGGATTTTTTGTCTAACCTTGTTAAAATTATCAAATGTCCATTGCATAAAATATTGTTATATTTTGATGTATTGTGTATTATTTAAAATAAAGTATCTTATATTTTTGAGCAGCTCTTCTTGAATGTCATTTTACAGTTAGCTCATAATAAGCTTGATATTTTTAAATAGTTTTAACAATATAATTACAGACATAGAGGGCACAGGATTTATCCTTTAGCTTAAGAGCAGCTCTAGAATTCTACAACTATATATAAACGTAAGTTGTTTTTTTTTAAATCTGGTTTAAAAGTTTTACTGAGGTATAATTGACACACAATTACTACACATATGTTAAGTGTACAATTTGAGGCTTTTTCATGTGTATACACCCAGTAAACCATAACCATAATCAAAATAATAAACATATCTATTTCCCCCAAAAGTGTTCTCATGCCCCTTTGTAAGATCTCCCTCTAGACATTTAATATCCATTTTATTTCTCCAACCCCCTGTCATCCTCAGGCAATCACTAATTTGATTTCTATCATTAAAGATTAGCTGGTAATTTCTAGAATTTTTTTATAAACGTTTTATATTGAACTGTAATTTTTTAAAAGTCCATATTTTTTATTTTAGTTAACAAACACAGAATCAATTATGATCAGAATGACTGTATATCTTGTCCAAGTTAGTATTTGCATTTTCAGACATGTATGTACCAGTTTGGAAGATAGATGATCACACTACTTACAGTGAACTATTTCATTTTTTCATTATTTGGTCTTTCATTGCTTTTTCTCTCCTGCTTTAACCACCTGTAACCACATCACCAAATAGGTTCTTTATCACAAAGTGGGGAAAGAAAGAATGAATGAAATGAGATGTGTTTGTAAGTTTCAGTTACTGGGTTTTAAGCTTCACATTAGTACTACAACTTTCTTTGCATTGTTAGACTTCTTTCTACCACTGAGAAGAGCTTTCTAGCATGAAATTTATTTGTGTTTGCCATTATAGCACTTCATATAAAAGACACATTGCTTGAATAATTGATTTGTCAGTCCCTAAGAATTTATAAAAACATGTATGTTATTGAGATATCTTAATGAAAATTTTAATGTTGTTAGTGTCCATTTTGACGATTCCTTAGTTTATATATTTTGTCCATTACTTTTAATAAATGAACTGTTGAACTTTTCTAACCACTTCAAATTAATATCCAAGAGTATGTTGGGGCTTTTGTTTGTTTTTACTACTATTACTCTTTTTTTGTTAAATGAAATACTTTAATTGTTGGATTGTGAAGAAATAAAAATAATACTTTCAGGAAGTAGTAAAGTATGGTGAAGACTAGAAAAATAAGTGGATTGTTCAAATTTTAAATTGATAGAGAAGTATTCTTTAAATATTAAATTTCTGTATTTTAAATTAAATGACCTATTATAAATACCCTCATTTTCTTATACCTGAATTTGGGTTATTAGGTAGGGTGTATCTTACCGTGAATAGGAAGTTCATATTTCCAAACTCCCTTGAGAGTGTACCTAATTATACTTTATGTAAATAATTATAATTAATATATCCTTGTATTAAAAATTAAGTTGTAGTAATCTAATGAAAAGTACCGAATTGGGAAATCAGGAGATGAAGGTCTGAGTCCTTGCTCCAGCTTAGTTACTTCAGCTGGCCAGTTAACTTTTTTGGGTTTTAGTTTTCTGAGCTGTACAATGGGACAATATATAATATAATATAATATAATATAACATTTTCCCATCAAAATTGTAACACCTTCGCCTGAATCCAAAGAGTTAAATCTAGTTTGTTCCAAACATGTTCCCTCTTAAGGGCAGAACCATATTTTATAATTGAAAAAACATGCTAAGATAGGTACCAACTGAAGTGATCTTATGTTTAAAGCAGGAAAACTATATTTCATAGAATGACTTCAATGGAAATAGGGTATTTTTTCTACCTTTAGACTGTTTATTATCACAAAATTAATTATTTTCTACATTTATAGAAATTCAAAATAGTGTTTTACAATATTAACAGGTATACAAAAATTTAAATATCACAATACCGCTGAAAATTTTGTCGCAAACCACCTTTATAACTGTATTTTACTATGGCCACAAAAGTGTCTTTATAAGGATATATTTTAAAACTTACCACTTTCTATGTAGAGACATGTGTTGATAGTCTTTCCAGATTCTGTATTGGTATATTCACACTGGTATAGTCACTGATAATTCACAGATTTCCTAGATTTGTTAACTTAGCATCCCAGGAAAGATTTTCTCAGTTTCCCCAAAATTAATTTCTATGATGGAAGGATTACATGGCATCTAAATCTCTTGAACCATACATCACTGCTTATATTTTATGTTGCAATTCTGTAAGACTGAACTGGAATATTTTTAAAATTAATTGGTCAGTATTTAGGATGTAAATTTTTGCTTTGCAAGAACAATAACAGCACTGACTGTCTAGAGGGAGACATTAAGAAAGGCATCTTAGGTGATCAGTGGCTCTGCCAGTATATATACAATAACTTACTACTATTGAAAATAAAATTACATATTAAGTATGTAAAATAGTCTGCAAGAATTTAAAACTCATAGCACCTACAAGTAACTTCTTGCTCTTCTTTTCAGTATGAAAACAAAGTTGCTGTACGTGACAGAGTGGCTTTTGCTTGTAAATTCCTTAGTGATAGTCAGGTAAAAACTAATTTAATTCTATATTTGAAGTGATTAATATTTCCTCTGATTGGATTAAGAAACGAATCTTTATGTGCAAATATGTATATGTAACATTTATATATAAATTATCCTAAAAAAGTAAAGTAATAATTTGTTAGATCAAGATACTGTAGACATGTGTATCATAACCAAAATTGTTTAAGAATCCTGACTTAATATTTTAGTTTATTTCTGCTTTTGGTCTACAGATAAAGACATTGAGCTCACCCCTTTGGGGTGCTATGAAAGAATTCCATTTCTTAATACAATAAAAGTATTGAATGCATATTCTGTGTATATAATGAGAAAGAAATGCCCATAAACAACCAGTAATACAAGGTGCTAAGTGCTATAATAATGAGGAAGTCCTGGGGGAACAAACAGGAATCTTGGCTAGAGGTTGGGGTGGGATGAAGTCAGAGACCTTACCAAGAGATGATTATTTTTGATAATCTTCAAGTTCCGTTTCAACTCAGATTCTGTGATTCTGTTACAGCAAGAACTTTGCAGAATACTGAGGGACAGTTCTCTTTAAATTTAAATAGTTAACCCTCTATACTTCTTTTATAGACTAATTATTAAAACATAATAAGTGCTTTTTAAAAAATATTTTAAATAATCACGGATGCCGCATTGTAATTTATGATAGATAGAGACTTCTTAAGAGATCACATCTAAATTTTTGCAAGGCTTTGTTTTAAAATGTTTTCCATAAAAATAAAACTTCCTAAAGTACAAGTTTTGAAGTACAAAGTATATAGTGAAATAGATTGCTTCAGAAATATCACTTTGAATTTTCTAGTTAAATAGATATATTGAAAAGTTGACCAACGAAATGAAAGAGGCTGGAAATTTGGAAGGAATACTGCTTACAGGCCTTACTAAAGATGGAGTGGACTTAATGGAGAGTTATGTCGATAGAACTGGAGATGTCCAAACAGCAAGTTACTGCATGTTGCAGGTTAGTGCAGTGTGGCAGCAACTTAAAGAAAAAGAGTGGTTAACCACCTTCTTCCTTCATTGAGTGGGTATGCCTTTTGCTTGCTTAGGATCTTTAGAAGGCGTTTAATTTAGTTTAATTTTTTTTAATTTAAACTTTAGGTGATTAACATACAGTGCAATATTGGTTTCTAGATAGAATTCAGTAATTCATCGTGTACATACAACATCCAGTGCTCATCAAAACAAGTACCCTACTTAATACCCATCACCCATCTAGCGCATCCCTCACCCACCTCCCTCCATCAACCCTCATTTTGTTCTCTTAAGAGTCTCTTATGGCTTGTTTCTCTCTCTCCTTTTTTTGTTTTTCTGCCTTCCCATATGTTCATCTGTTTTCTTTCTTAAATTCCCCGTATAAGTGAGATCATATGGCATTTGTCTTTCTCTGACTGACTTATTTCATTTAGCATAATACACTCTAACTCCATCCATGTCGTTGCAAATGGCAAGATTTCATTCTTTTTGTTGGCTGAGTAGTACTCCATTGTATATACCACATCATCTTCATTCATCAGTCCACGGACATATGGGCTCTCTCCATAGTTCGGCCATTGTGGACATTGCTGCTATAGACATTGGGGTGTATGTGTCCCTTTGAATCTGTATTTTTGTATTCTTTGGGTAAATACCTAGTAGTGCAATTGCTGATCATAAGGTAGTTCTATTTTTAACTTTTTGAGGAACCTCCATACTGTTCTCCAGATATCAGTTTGCATTTCCACCAACAGTGTAGGAGGATTCCCCTTTCTCCACATCCTCGCCAATACCTCTTGTTTCTTGTGTTGTTAATTTGAGCCATCCTGACAGGTATGAGATGACATCTCATTTAGATTTTGCTTTGTATTTCCCTGATGCTGAGTGATGTTGAGCATCTTTTCATGTGTGTTTTAAGCCATCTGGATGTCTTTTTTTGGAAAAGTGTCTATTCATGTTTTCTGCCCATTTCTTAACTGGATTATTTGATTTTGGGGAGTTGAGTTTGTTAAGTTCTTTGTGGATTTTGGATACCAACCCTTTATCAGATAATGTCATTTGCAAATATCTTCTCCCGTTCCATAGGCTGCCTTTTAGTTTTGTTGTTTGTTTTCTTTGCTGTGCAGAAGCTTTTTATCTTGATGAAGTCCCAGTAGTGCATTTTTTGCTTTTGTTTCCCTTGCCTCTGGTGACGTGTCTGGTAAGAAGTTGCTGTGGCTGAGGTCAGGGGTTTCTGCCCGTGGTCTTCTCTAGGATTTTGATGGTTTTCTGTCTCACATTTAGATCTTTCATCCATTTTGAATTTATTTTTGTGTATGGTATAAGAAAGTGGTTCAGTTTCATTCTTTTGCATTTGGCTGTCCAGTTTTCCCAACACCCTTTGTTGAAGAGAATTTTTTCCATTGGATATTCTTTCCTTCTGTGTTGAAGATTAGTTGACCTATAGTTGTAGGTTCATTTTTGGGTGTTCTATTCTGTTCCATTGATCTGTGTGTCTGTTTTTGTGCCAGTACCATACTGTCTTGATGATTACAGCTTTGTAATATAGTTTGAAATCTAGAATCGTAGTGCTTCCAGTTCTGTTTTTCTTTTTCAGAATTGCTTTGTCTATTAGGGGTCTTTTGTGGTTCCATACAAATTTTAGGATTATTTGTTCTAGCTCTGAAAAATGCTGGTGTTATTTTGATAGGGATTGCATTAAATGTGTAGATTGCTTTGGGTTAGAAGGCATTTAACTTTAACCTAATCAGTTGATCTGTAGTGGACGTCTACTTTATCTTACTATCCCTCAGCTTCCTCTGTTGGGTTATCCAGTTTTTCCTTTCATTTTGGGAAGTGTCAGTGTTGAACTTACATAAAGCTGAAACAGACCAGAGAAACCTCTCTCAAATTTGTCCAGTTCACAAAACTGTACCTTCTGCAAAAGAGATTTCCTTTCCCTGATCTGAACTACAGTCTCACTTGAAGTGCAGAAGGCAAGTTATACCACAAGTCTCTGAACACTCATTTTCCCTTTTTATGATTTGGGGTAACCAGTTCATCAATTTACTCTCAGTTCTTACTGTCCAGCAGTTAAAAACAGGTTTCTGGCAAAGGTTCCCTTTGTTACTTTTGATAGAAATATGGTGAAAATGTAGAGTATTTTCCTGAGATTATAGCCCTCCAGTTAATCTTATCCTTTCATGGTGTCCTCTTTCCTGCCCCCTGTCCTTTCATACACTTGATAGCATGCTGTGTCCTGGGTAAATGCAGTAAAATGCCCCCTCCGACCCTACCTTCTTATGAACAAATACGGATACTGGCCCACAAACTGCAGTATAAACTTAGCAACTTATCAGGCCACCGCCCATTCTGTAACAAAGTGCATCATTTTTTTCTTGCTGAATTGAGGTTACCATCTATTAAATCAAACTGTAGATATGTGACTATAGAGTGCAAGTGGCCTTATACTGTTTATGAAGAGAAGTCAGCTGTTATAATTATTGTCTCCCTATGTAATGTTTCATTTTCCCTTGGGCTGCTTTTGATTTTCAGCAGTTTACCCTTGATGCTTAGTTGTACTTCTTTCTGCCCTGCTTGTGGTTCACTAAGCTTCTTGGATCTGCAAGTCAGTGTTTTTCATTAGTTTTGAAAAGTTTGGTGGTATTATTTCTTTATATATATTTTTTTCTGCTTCAATCTCATTCTCTTCTCTTTTTGGGGCTCATATTACATGTATATTAAACCATTTGATAGTGTCCCATAGGTATCATTTTCTTTCCATCCTTTTTTTCTCTCTTCTTCAAATTGGTTAAATGCTATTGATTTGTTCATTGACTCTTACCTCACCTGATGTTAAGTTTTTCAGCAAACTCTTAATGTTAGCTATTGTACAGTTTAGTTCTAGAATCTCAATTTTTTTATAGTTTACTTTTTTTTTAAAGATTTTATTTATTTATTTAATAGAGACAGCAAGAGAGGGAACACAAGCAGGAGGAGTGGGAGAGGGAGAAGCAGGCTTCCCGCCGAGCAGGGAGCCCGATGCGGGGCTCGATCCCAGGACCCTGGGATCATGACCTGAGCTGAAGGCAGTCGCTTAACCGACTGAGCCACCCAGGCGCCCCTCTAGTTTACATTTTTCATTCAGATCTCTATTTGCACACTAATTGAGCATACATCTAATAGCTGCATTCAGGATTTTGCCTGCTAACTCTAACATGGGCTATTTTAGGCTTAGTTTCTATTGACTGCCTTTTTTCCTTGACTTTGAACTATATTTACCTGTTTCTTTGTGTTTCGTGGTTTTTTCATTTGAATACTGGGTGTTGTGTATAGTACATTGTAGAGATCTGGGTTCTTTTACCTTTTTCTGAAGAATGTTGGTTAATGCTTTTGGAAGTTCAGTTACTTGCTGCTCACTTTGGTCTCAGATTTTGTTACTGTGGATCTGTGGGAAGCCCAAGTTATTTCCCAAGCCTTTCCAATCTTAATCTCTGAACTGTTTTCCTCTGCAGATTTTGTTGGAGCTTAATTTTAGGTTTATTTGGGGCAGATCTAGAGAGGACTTACCAAATATGAGTTGACCAAATTCATTCTGAGTTTATCCCCATGGAAGGGGAAAGAGTGGATATGAAGATTTCTCCTTTTTTCTGTGAATTTTCTTTTTAAACTAGGGATTATATTCTACTTTAGTACTTAGTTCTGGCTAGTTGGCCATTATCAGGACTAGAAGAAATGTTTACTTTCTTAAGAAGTGAAATTATCAGCTAAGAGAATTTAACTCTGATAACAGAAATGAATACCTAATTAATAGGTGAAAGATAAGCTCCTTCTGTTTTGATAGAATGTCTAAGGATAGATTGTCTATTAGCTGTTACAGGTTTTTTCCCTTTTTCCATTAGATACATGAAGTTCTAACATTTTACTTTTCCAAAAAACTGGGCTTCAAATTAATGCCCATGTCATCATTGGAGATTGAGACTTTCTCTACTTTGTTTATCATGTGAACTTAAGGAAGCTGTCCTGGACAGGGCTAAAAGCATTCTGTGAAAACCCAGAGCAAGCACAGGTGAAGTGTCACAGCTGCCGGGGAAAATACAGCTTTAGGAAGAGTCTTACTGGCAAGATGTTGAAGTTCTTAAGTAAAATTAAGGTAGAGAAATTGGTGCTTTTCATTGTGGCCTAGGGGCAAAAGAATGAAGAACATCTTTGGTTTGGTTTTGGGTTTTTTTTGTTTGTTTGTTTTGTTTTGTTTAATTTTTAAGGTAATAAATGTATGTTTTAATTGAGCCAGAGAGAGAATAGGCAGGTTTAACTTTCAGATAAATAGGTAAACAAAAATAGCATTTCCATTCACAGTACATGCTAGATACACAAGATGAGGCTCAGCATTATTTTAAATGTGTTGGAGCACTTGGGTTAGAGAGTAAACAGATTTGTGAATGCAGAGGTTTTAATTATGGGGACAAAGTAGTGACATCCCTTTTTATTGTATTCAAGTAGGAAAGTGAATTGTTCACTCTTGGGTCCTTAAACTTAAATAAGAGAGAATTACACTTTCCTGGACAGGTATAATGATAATATAATACATATTTATGTCATTAGTAGAGGCCAGCTTAAAGTAAATTAAAGAAGCTTCCATCAGTTATTTCATCTATATCCTCATTATGAACCAGCTTTTGGCAAAAAGGGAGCCTGTTTCTTCTGTGTGACTCATATTCACATGTTATTTGGAATCCTCTGGCTTAGCCAGAAAAATTTTTGAACAACTCTATTAATTCATGTTTTCTTTTTAGGGTTCTCCTTTAGATGTTCTTAAAGATGAAAGAGTTCAGTACTGGATTGAGAATTATAGAAATTTATTAGATGCCTGGAGGTTTTGGCACAAACGAGCTGAGTTTGATATTCACAGGAGTAAGTTGGATCCCAGTTCTAAGCCTTTAGCACAGGTATGTAAGTACATTATTTTGGAGAGAATCAAATTGTAACGTGCTTAATGTAGCCCAAAGAGAAGTGTTCACAGCATGTTATATTGGGTAAATTTAGAGCTCAATTTAATAAATTATTATTAGCTCATCCTTTTGCTTATACTGAGTTCCTGTTGATGTCTTTATCTATCCCAAACTGCACTCCGTCCTTGACCATCCTGTTTTTTTGGTCCTGCCAGTTCCTAACAATCGTCACGGTGGCTTGAGCTTTAGTCTGAGCTAGCGCAAACGACAGCAGGCCTAGATGGTCTTAGGTAAACCTAAATCAGTCCTAGGGCTCAGCTTTTCTAGTATATTCCAAGCCCTTTCTGAATGTAAACTATTATGCTATCTTATAAATTCCATTTATGTGTTCAATTTTTCTGCACTATTTCTGTGTAATAAGGAAGGATTTGCTTTTTTCTCTAACAGTATATACATATGTCTATATGTCAAATTAAACATGGACATTGTTTTTTTTTAATATTAGTTTAAAAAACGTGAGCTCAGTTATCACATAAAACACGACATGAGATCACTGTATCTAAATTCGGCACTAAATACTGAGTATATCCTCAATGTGAGCACTGGATGGTGCTGTTTTCTTCAGAAAGTTGAGAAATTAGTGATTATTTTAAAACAACCCGAATTTTTGTAAAATAGCATTACATGATAATATTTGTTATTAATCTATGTAAGTGTTTAAGAGCCCAGGAATTTAAAAGCAAAATGAACATTTTCTATTACTATTCTAAAATTCTAGCTATTTGACAATATAGGGTCCTTAACTCCTTTTTGTCTTAGAAATGAATGTTTTCTTTACAAGAAAATTTTGTTGAGATGGAATCAGTGAACTTTGGATCAGAACTTATATTGGGTTATTTTATAGTGTTCCAATGTGAATTCTAAAGTCTTTGTTATTTCTAAAATGTTGTTATCTAATGTTTCCAAGTTTTTCTGCAGATGTCAGTGGTGGTAGAAAGGATATAACTAGAGGTAACAGAGAAGAAGTACTCAATGACACTGCTAAGTGGAAATCCTAGACGGAAGCTAGTCAAATTTAGCAGATAAATTATTTTATAATATAAAATAAACCTTAAAAATTAAGAGTGATTTGTTAGCATCAAACTTTGAATTTTATTTATAAAGTTTGCATTATATTTATTCCTCCTTTCATTTGTTGTATAGGTGTTTGTGAGTTGCAATTTCTGTGGCAAGTCGATCTCCTACAGCTGTTCAACTGTGCCTCATCAGGGCAGAGGTTTTAGTCAGTATGGTGTCAGTGGTTCACCAACAAAATCTAAAGTCACAAGTTGCCCTGGCTGTCGAAAACCCCTTCCTCGATGTGCACTTTGCCTCATTAATATGGGAACACCTGTTTCTAGCTGTCCCGGTATGACATAATTCTGTAATATATTTTCTGAGCTGAAATTGTTCCTACATAATTGATTTAATGTTGTCAGTAGAAGACATACAAAGTTGAGTTTATATTATTTCTAAGAGCAAGCCACTTTGCTGGCTCAGAGGTTTTGTATTTCCTGGAATTTGTAAAAATCTATATATTAAAAGTAAAATCTGTATTCATTATATCACAAGTAACCTCACAAATGCTGGCCAATTTAAAGTTTGTGAAAAGAGCTTAAATATTAAGTAATCCTATAATTATACTATTTTCTTACCACTTTTTCTAAGAGGAGTTCCTTCAGATTTTTTGTTTAAAAGTCAGTGCACCCTCATTTTTTAAAAATACCTTGTACACATCAAGAGCTTTTGATAGTCTCAAAGCACTTTCACATTCTCGTTTTTAATCTTCAAAATCTACCTGTGAAATACGTAGAGAAAGTGTTAGTTTAGAAATCACATCCCTTTACTTCCAAGTTTGGTGCTGCTTCTGCTATATATGTCAGTTACCTAGTGAACATACATACGTATTTTTTTTAATGGTTAGAAATGTTAGGATTATTGTTTCCGGCTTATGGTACCTATAGAAAAAAAATTTGAGAACGGTAGATAATTGAATATAATGTATCCAGTGGCTGGAAATATTTGAGCTATTTTATTAACCTTGAAAATTTACACTATGGCAGAAATTTTAATTAAAAACATTTGAGTATTTAGCATACTGGTATAATTAAGAACTGGTTATGGTGTCAGAATGCCTATTTTATTAGTTCTAGTTCTGTGACATTCAGTCTGTATCATTAAGAGTTACTTAGCCCTTGTTCATATAAAGTGTTAGATGGAGATTCTTTTTATTTATGAAATTTTATAATTCTGCTCTGCAATTGGTTCATGTCAATTGTTTTATTTGTTACGTTAACATCTGTGAAAGAGGTTTGCTGGTATCATTGGCTGAGTAATTAATTTTCAGGTTAGATTAAACAAAGGCAATTTGTAATGTTTTCAAATTTATATGTTAGTTTTGATTTAAATTTTAATCAAGGATTTTCATTTTATATGTTGCATGTTGATCACTTTCATGATCCTGATACTAGTAAATAGAAAATAATTTGGAGTAAAAATCTACTACAGTGATAGAACGAGGCAAAATATTGCATAAATAAGTTATATATGAACTGGGATACATAAAAATAGTTAAATTCAATACGTTTTTCAGACTGTAAGCTGCAGGAAGCCATAATGGCCTGAGTGCTGTTCTTTTTTTGCTAGATGTTAACTTTTCAATCTTTTTTTTTTAAAATAGGTTAAAAAATGAGAAAATGGGTTTTCAAAATTTGAAGAAAAGGCAAAACATTTCAACCTCTCTCTTATGTAGATTGTTAATTTAATGAATATTCAACACTCAGTTTTATAAAATGTTAACATTTTTCCATATTTGCTTCAGAAATTTTATTTGAAATTTGCTTCAGTAATAATTTTTTGTATATATTTGAATACTTGCTAAGGTAAGACTGATAATGCCGAGATGTATCAGAGATCCTTGTGGAGCTTATAGTGTACAATGAGCATGGATAAAATAAGAAATGATATGTTTAAGAAAATAAATAGTGGTCCAGAATCCCTTATCTGTTATTCCAAAATCTCTAAAAAGATCTGAAAATCCAGTTTTTAACGACTTTACAGTAATCTCATGATCAAAAACCAAAACAAAACACCTGTTCAGAATTGACATGAGGCTGTTAAAAGTCTTTGATTACAGAATGCTGCCTCAGACTTTCCTGGAGTTGTTATATTTGCTCATTATTTTTCTAAAATCCCAAACATTCTGTATTCTGAAACGTGTTTAGCTCCCTGAGGTGAATAAGGAATATTTTATGAAGAAAGTATTAGAATTTTGAAAGAAGGAAACATTACTTCTGTTTGAAGGATATCAGGAAAACTTTAGAAAGAAGATGCTGTTTAAGCAGGTCCTTTAAAAAAGTTTGGGAACTTTATTTATTTATTTATTTATTTATTTATTTATTTATTTATATTTATTTATTTATTTATTTATTTATTTATTATTTATTTATTTATTTTAAAGATTTTATTTATTTGACAGAGAGAGACACAGAGAGGGAACACAAGCAGGGGGAGTGAGAGAGGGACAAGCAGGCTTCCCGCGGAGCAGGGAGCCCGATGCAGCGCTCCATCCCAGGACCCTGGGATCATGACCTGAGCCGAAGGCAGACGTTTAACGACTGAGCCACCCAGGCGCCCCAAGTTTGGGAACTTTAATATGTGAAGATTTTAGAGAAGCCTTTCCAGGTGTAGACAAAGAACAAAAAGCATGAACTACGGTAAAGAGATCAGTGAATTTAAATACAGAGAGTGTATGGGAACTAGCAGTTGCATCTGTATGACAAGGGCCTAGGAAAGTAGACTGATAGAAAATAAATTTGTTAGGAAAATTAGGGAAACCTGATTTATGATCTTTAAAGGATTTCTGAGCTAATTACAAAATACAGTTACCCTTGAACAACATGAGGGTTAGTGGCACCAACCTCTGAATAGTCAAAACTCTAGGTATAACTTGACTCCTCCAAAATTTAACTACTAGTAGTTTACTGTTGACTGGAAGCCTTACTCATAACAAAAACAGTTGATTAACACATATTATATGCTTTGTGTAATATATACTGTATTCTTATGGTAAAGTAAGCTAGGAAAATAAATGTTAAGAAAATCATAAGGAAGAGAAAATATATTTACAGTGCCATGCTGCAAAAACTCCATGTGCAAGCAGATCCGCACAGTTCAAACTCATGTTTTTCAAGGGTTAGCTGTAATAAGCATATTCTTTTTTAATATAAAATCAGAAGATTCTGAGTTCCAAAATAAGACAGGACCTGAAAGAAATAAAATGCTAGCTCAAGGCAGTTTAAAGATTGAGGTGTACGAACTCCCCTGATGCTTTGCCTAAAATTAGAGATGTCATCATCCATCATGGTTCATGATCCAAATGGCCAGGATTTCCATAAGCTTATTTAACTGAGGGTTGCGTATTTTTATACTCAGTTGTGCTTTAAAGATTGGAACTATATTGAAAATAACGCTTATAATTATAAACCTTTATAATTTTTTATAAATTTTTATAACTATAATGTTTAGTTATAAACATATTTAACATTATAAATGTTATTTATTCAACATGTATCTATTTAGCACCTATTGTTCCAAGTGCTAGGAATGTTACAGTGAACAAAACACAAAAATCCCTGCCCTTATAGAGCTTAATGTATAGGAGTGATACCTTTTTTAAAGGTAGATTATTTCCTGGTTTCCTTCTTACTCTTAGTAGTAGTAGTAGTAGTAGTAGTAGTAGTAGTAATAGTAGTGACTGCGTGAAACCCTAGTTTCCCTCAACTATTCTGTAGCACTTTGTAATTCACTATGAATCTTTTAAAAGTTAAAACTATCTAAAATAAGAAAATAAAAAATGAAAGTTAAAACTATTTGATCTTTTTTGAGTATAGTTGACACACAATGTTACATAAGTTTCAGGTGTACAACTTAGTGATTTGACAAGTTGTGTTGTGCCTTGTTCACCACAAGTGTAGCTACTATCACTATTACAATATCATTGACAGTGTTCCTTACACTCTGCCTTTTGTTACTTACTGATTCCATAATTGGAGGCCTGTATCTCCCTCTCGCCTTTACCCATTTTGCTTAACCCCCCCACACACCTTCCCTCTGGGAACCATCAATCAGTTTGTTGTCTATATTTATGGGTCTGATTCTGCTTTTTGTCTGTTTTTTTTTAATTTCATTTACGAGTGGAATTGTATGGTATTTGTCCTTCTCAGTCTGACTTATTTCACTTAGCATGATACCCTCTAGGTCCATCCATGTTGTCTCAGATGACACGATCTCACTCTTTTTAAGGCTTTGTAATATTACTTGTATATGTATACCACATTTTCCTTATCCTTATCTATTTTCCTTATCCTTATCTGTTATCTATTATCTGTCTATTTTCTATCCTTATCAATTATCTATTCATGGAGACTTAGGTTGCTTCCATGTCGTGGCTATTGTAGATAATGCTGCAATAAACATAGGGGTGCATATACCTTTTTGAGTTAGTGTTTTCATTTTCTCTGAGTAAATTCCCAATATTGGAATTACTGGATCATACAGTAATTCTGTTTTTAATTTCTTGAGGAACCTTCATATTGTTCTCCACAGTGGCTGCTCCATTTGCATTCCCAACACTTCACACGAGTTTCCTTTTCTCCATATCCTTGCCAACATGTGTTGTTCTTGTCTTTTTGATTCTGGCCATTCTGACGGGTCAGATGATATCTCATTATGGTTTTGATTGCATTTCCCTGATGATTAGTGATGTATATCTTTTCATGTGTCTGTGAGCCATTTGTATGTCTTTGGAAAAATATTCAGGTTCTCTGCCCATTTTGTAATAGGATTGTGTGTTTTCTGGTGTTGAGTTATATAAGTTCTTTATATATTATGGTTATTAACCCCTTATATATCATTTGCTAAAGCTATTTGATCTTTAAAAAGCCTTTTTCATGTGGCAGTGAGGTAGACCTTAATATTTTTAGCTTCATCAGAGAAACATAAGAAGTAAACTATCCTGGATCCAGTCTGTTTTCCATGTGTTAGAAGTTACAAAAACAAAGTGAAAATCACTTAATGAGCTATATACTATATAAAATAGTTTATCTTTAAAAGGTCTGTATTTTCTTTCTCTTTGTTTTCTTCCTCTTTCATTGTTAATCATTTTTATGAAGCTTTTAGGAAGAATTTCAGTGTATTTACATCTTAACCACCTATACATATTACATCTTCAACCACCTAGATATCCTTCTACCTTACTATCTTTAGCAAAAACAGATGGGTATTTTAAAAAAAACCTATTTACAAATAGGTTTGACTATCCTTGTGGTCATTAAATTATGACTAGCAGTGGTCTAGGTAAATAGGTACACAACTGCTTAATTAAACTTAATATTTTTACTTATGCATTTTTCTATTCTTGTCCCTAATTATATATGATCTTAAAATATTTTAATTTGATCTGTTTTAGAATAAAAGAAAACATATTAAGATAGCCAAAATTAATAGAATGAGCATTTTTTGAGCACTGAAAGTTATGTAAATATATATGTGAAGATATACACATATAAACATGCATGCATAATAATACATGTTTCTTCAACTTTTTTTGTGAACTGTAACATAGATAGGAATATATATATTAGGTACTATGATAAATCAAACATCGTTGAAGCCTGTGTCCTGCTTAAGATAACATTGGCTGTACCAGCTCCTTTGCTCATTATTCCCTGCCTAGTACAATCTCTTTCCTCTTTCCCAGAGGTAACTACTGCCCTAAATTGTGTGTTACTTGGTTCCTTGGTTATCTGTATAGTTCTATTACATGTTTAGTTTTGTCTCTGTTTTAAATTCCATATGAATGAATCTTATGGAATATATCCTTTGGCTTACGTTTTTTTGCTCAATATTGTTTTTGTTTTTTTTACTTTTAATGATGCTGATGAATGTAACTGTAGTTTATTCGTATTTCATTAGTATTTGGTATTCCATTCATGGCTGTAACACAGTTTTTTCCACTCTACTATGGTTGTGGGCACTTTTGGTTGTTTCCACATTTTTACTATTATGAACAATGCTGTTATGAACATTTCTGCATATGAATCCTTTTAGCATGTACAGAAGTTTCTCTAGTGTATATACCTAGAAGTAGAATTAGTAAATAATGCTGTTTGCTAATGTTTTTCTTTGGATTTTTATGTCTGTTCAAGGAGAGAGATGGGCCTATAATCTGCCTTCTCATATTATCTTTGTCTGCTTTTGTTATTAAAGTTATGCCAGCCTCAGGAAGTGCATTGGGGCATTTTCCCCAATGTTTTTTGGAAGAGTTTGTATAGATGAAAATTACCTGTTCCTTCAGGGTTTTGTAGGACTCACCTATAAACTGGACATGGTATTTTTCTCTGTGGGAAGATTTTAAACTGTTTTTCTAAAGTTGTTAATTCAGATCTTCTTAGTGGGTTTGATAATTTAAATTTTTCCATTTTTTTATTGAGTATTAAAAATGTAAGGAAACCCCTATTATCCAGTAGTTTTTCAATCTAAACTAGATCATGGCATTAAAATTGCTATTTCAATATGATGTGTGATTTGTATTTTGACATAGTTTTAGAAATACCTTTTAAGAAGCTTTGAATAAAATATTTTGACAGTTAATGAAGATAATTTTCTTTAACCCATAGGAGGATCCAAATCAGATGAAAAAGTAGACTTGAGCAAGGATAAAAAATTAGCTCAATTTAACAACTGGTTCACATGGTGTCACAATTGCAGGCATGGTGGACATGCTGGTCATATGCTTAGTTGGTTCAGGTAATCAGTATGTTTCTTCTTTAATAGGCTTGGAGTTAGAGGAGGTAGAGCAAATGGCCTTTTAAATAGTTCAGGTGTATATAGCCAAAGGATAAATTTCTTTTTTGCTGTCACTTGAGTTAACAAAGGTGGTGTCAACATTTCTGTCATTAGATATCCTATGTAATCTTAAACTATAAAATTAATATATATAATAGATAGTTTAAATATTATGTATGGGTTACATGTTTGAATAGCATTATTTGGAGAGAGGATATGTTTATAGTTTTGTTCTTTTTTTTTACAACTAACCTAATATCCTATCACAGTATGTAATTGAAATTAGAAATTAAATGATGGAGTATGCATATCAAACAACTGTATCAGTTATCATCTAAATAAACTTCTTATGTAGTAAGTAAGCACTTCATGCAATAGAGACTCAAGCCATGTTTAATTCTAATTTAAATAGTGCCCGTGGCCCTTTACTCCTCATTGCTATAGCTTTTACACCCAGTTTGTCATGTTGGCTTTAATTAAAACTCTGAGGACATTCCTGCCACTTTCATAACTGTAAATCAGGTATCTTGTTATATATTTAAAAGGTAAAGCTATTCACTTTTCAGTAACTTTCTCCCCAATTCAGCTTGTCAGTCATTTTTTATTTCATTCTTTTCATGCTTTTTGTCTTTGGGTTTTAATTCCTGTATTTTTTCAAATACCATTTTGAAAATTGCATTCTGCATAGAGATAGGTATATAGGTAAATGTATGTATGTATATGCTTAATTTAGATTTTTAACTGTTACTTGACCTATTTTTTTTAGGGACCATGCAGAGTGTCCCGTTTCTGCATGCACATGTAAATGTATGCAGTTGGATACGACAGGAAATCTGGTACCTGCAGAGACTGTCCAGCCATAAAATGTTACCATCTAAAGAGAAACCTTCAAGTGTGGAGCTTTCTAATAGATGTCCTTCATAGCTCAAAAACGTACCTCAGAGCAAGCCACTCATGACTTTCCTGTAATGGGAAAATAAATCATTCTATCAAATCAGCAATTGGATGTTTGAGTGATTTTGATGTGCTTCACAGAGACACATGCTGCTGAAGTGAGCATCAGCATGTGGGCATGAATTCTGTTCAGTAGGTTGAAAAAGTTCATTTTGGAAGAGCTTTATAGGGTTTGTTGAAATTATGAACACTATGCAAGCAGAGTTTCTGGAGTAACAAAGAACAGACCTTGAACCTACATCTGCTAAGCTGAAATTGGCTATCTTTTCAGTAAAATCTGTACATCTTTTAAAATAGAATAAAATGACCAATTTTTTACCTTTAGAATCAGAGAACCCCTACCCCACACTGGAGAATAAATTTCATCAAGGTATGGTTGGTATATATTTCTTAAGGAGTCTTTTCCTTCGTACACTTTCATTTCAAGGTAAGAAATCTTTTGGCACAGACCATTATTGTCTTCCTAAGAAAAGCCTAAATTGAGAGTGTGTCTTAATACTTTTTCTCTTCTGAGGAGAAAAATATGTATCATTTCAGGGAAACATGTTATAAAATTTTCAGTTTTTCAGCCTTTTGTTTTCCAGTGTCCTCATTTGTCTTCAAAGGTTTCTCTCTTTATTAATTCATCGTCTTATGCTCATCATCTAAGAGCATCTTCCTGAACACAAAGCCTATGCAAGATTATAGGTGTCTAACCATTCAGGTTAACCGACATCAGTGTGTCCTACTGTCAGATTCCCTCCTAGTTTGGAATACTCTATTTTTTCGAAGGTACCCTCTGGGAGATGTTGGGGAAAACAGGGTCATTTTGGAGACAGTTATGCGTTAAATGTACGTTCCTTAAAGTATATTTGGGCCAATTCAGGAACTTTATTTAAAAATTTTATTCTTTTCCCTTTTCACAGCTAAATAGAGAAATACAAAGGATTTGTGGCATGCTTCTCTGTTACCTGACATACACAGAGTATTGAACTGAATTTCATAGTTGAAGTTGTATTCATAGATAAAATAAAAGTAAGCATAAAAATTATTGTATAGATTTTGAAGAAAGAAATATCTTAAGCTAAAGAATTTTAAGAGCTTTCATGGTAGCAGTTTTACTTGGTGGAATTAACATCGATTACATTAGTTTGAGGTGTGACCTAAATACTGAACAGAAGCGGATTCAATTTATTTTTACTTTGAGATCTGATACAAAAGGCCCTTTTCAGGGAAAATATTATATATTTATTGCATATCTACTGTAAACATCTCATCTAGATGGCAGTCTTCTTTTAAATGGAAAGAATTAGGAATAGTTAGAATATTCTTTTTTTTTTAACAAAGATTGCCATAAAGGGGACTTTTTTCCAGTTTTCTTTTAAGTAAATCTTCCTGACTTCATTTTACTAAAATATAACCTTTATCTTTACCTTTAAAATTACTTCAAAGTGTTCCTTTCAAATTTTCTATGTCCTAAATATGAAAACTCAGCTTTAAGTAATATTAAACTATCATAATACATTTTCATTTCTCCTTAGCTAAAGTTTGATAAAATTATTGAATTTATATTTATAATAGGGTTATATCTATTTATAATTTTGGGAAATACAATATAATAAAACAAAGTCTAGAATATAAATAATCTGCTTGTTTGTAGTCATAAAGGATGACATTTTTAAGATTGTTTATGCCTGTGTGTTAGCCTCCTGATATTTTATCTGAAGCCCAAATAGTCATATAAGATGTCTGTTATATTTGTTTTGCATTTCAGTGTATGTGGACCATAAAAATAGATTCAAATTATTTTTCCATTTTTACTACTAGTCTGATATTTGGGATTATAAACTCAAGATATTTTACCTAAACGTGTTCAATAGAAATGTTTAATAAAAGTGTTTTTATTACTTTTTAAAAAATTGAATAAACTTGGGTTGCCGTCACCGTGTCTGATCTAGAAATTATCTTTGACTCCTCTACATATAATCTAATAAAATAATATTCATAATTTTGATGGCAAATTTGATACCTAATCATAGTAACATTTCTTTAGGCTTTTTTTTTTTTCTGTTTAATATGCTTTCCAGAATGGTTATTCTTTAAAATGGTGTATTTTAAAAGTAGCTTTCCATTGTCAGTGCTAAGTATTAGAGTTAGAAGGGATGTAATTCTGAATGTAATTATGTGGCCAAATTTAATTTCAGCTGCTCATTTGACGGCAAATATTAAAAATACGGGCTTTGAAATTTAAACTGTAATCCTAGCCCCAGTATAGTGGCCAAGTGGCCAAGTGATCTGACCTTTTTGAGCGTCAGTTTCCTCATATGTTAAAAGGTACAGAAATACCTCATAGGGTGGTTAGAAGTGTTAAGTGATGAAATAAACAGGAAGTACTTGTATCCCTGTCACTAGTAAGTAAGGTAGTGGTTAATAGTTATTGTTACCTTAATCTTTGTTGGTTACTCATCTTTCAGTACTTTTTAATTGAATATGGTATAATTTAAACAAAGGATTTACATTTCTTGGGAAAATTTCCCAAGAGCTTATTTTCTGAAATCTGGATAAATTATGGCATTTTTTTTTTTTGAGGTAGGACTTAACTACTTTGTTTATCCTCTTTTTAGAATAATACTTTTTGCTTTTTGATGAAATCCTCCAAACAACCATCTAGGAGTTTGATGTGATATAGGAGTGAACCCAAGGATTAAAAATAAATTTTTGGTACATCTGGACAGCTGAGTGGTAACTCTTGAAAACTTGAGGTTTTCATATCCATATTCAACTCTTAAATCCAGGTCATTACTTTTCTAGGAGAACATATCCAGCATTATTGCTATGTAATCCTTCCTTTTCTGCTGTTTCATTACGCTTGATGTTCATTTCAGTTAAAATGCTGCAGTGGTAGTAGTAATAATAGAAAGGAAGCATCCTGTGAGGTATTTTCTCCCTTGGGATAGCTGCAATTAAAACAAGTTGGACACGAATTAGTTGTACATGTCCAACGTCTGCTCAGAGGCATCAGAGAGGTGGGAGAGACATGTTAGGTGTTAGTTCAGCGTCCTCACACTGAGTGCTTGTGACCCACATGGCCGTGGCAGAGATGGGGCTACCTGGCCAGCTGGTCTGTCTACCACTCTGACTCCTCCCACTACATCACTTGCCTGAAAATTTGATAGATCTTTTGGCTGATTATAAAAAGCGGCACTTTACAGAAATACTAGTTTGTATAAAATATTAATTTTCCCTGAGTATAGGGAGAGAAGGAAAACCTCCCACAAGTTCTTCAAAGTTAATGTAATCCAAATACCAAATAACATGGATTGCCATAACAACTGGTTTCACTTAGGAATGTACATGGTAAATTCATAAGTAAAATGAATACTGAGCCCAACAGTGTATTAATAATAGTCACTGTTGGTGCTTACTGTGTGCCAGGTCCCACGCACAGTATCCCATTTGATCCTCACAGTAGTTCTGTGGGGCAGGTAGACTATTACCATTCCCATTCTGTACATGAGGCAGTTGAGGTGTAGGGACATGATGTCACCGTGCTAGGTTACACAGCTAGTCAAGAGCAGAACTGAGATTGAGCTTCCAATCATCTGACTTCCCAATCTGCACTTTTAATTACTATTTTATACTTTGGTGTACTAGTTTAGGGGCTGTATATAAGAAAATCCACTATGACAAAGACTTACTATATTTAGTACTAATACATCAAAAGAGAAAAACCACGTTAACAGCGCATTGGATGTAAAAGGCATTTGATAAAATTCAAAAATTGATTCCCAATTTGTTTTTTAGATTTAGTTATCATGCAAAGGAAGTGTTTTTCCTCCATTGTTTCCCTCCTATTTTACTATCAATTTCAAATAGCTGGCATCATGCCTAGTGGAGAAATAGTAAAATCCTTCCCATTTATGGGCAGGAGTAACACCGGGATCCTGTTGTTACCACTGGTTTTGCACACAGCAATGCAGAAGAGCAAAGCAGGAGACATACCTTGCTTCTTTTCCAAGTCCTTTAAGTTTGGTGTGGCAAAAATGCCATCAACAGTTAAAGACAAACTGATAAACTACAAGATGCGTGACAAACACCCTTAATTCATAAGGAGCATTCTCAAATCTATGAAGAAAAGATGCAGCCAATAGATAATATTGATCAGGAATTGTATAGGCAAAATAAACTAAAATGGCCAATAAGAATGTTAAGTCAGTAACTAATGCTGATTAAAGCAATAGGATACTGTTCACCTGCCTGCATAGATGGAAAAGAATAATAGGCATTTCCGTGGATGTAGGAAAGGAGCATTCTGAGATAACGACTTGTGAGAGTATGTATCAGTACAGGAGTCCTTGAGGACTTGGGAGCATTATGTATCAAAAGCCTTAAAAAGGTTCACACCCTTTGACAGTATATTGGGAGTATTTTCTGAGAGAGAGATGAGTGCACAGAGATGCAGGTTTCTAGAAAGTGGTTCATCACAGCTTTGTTTATAGTAAAAATTTAGAAACCTGAATAATGGTAAGTAAGAGTAAAGAAATTGTTATGTCCAATGGAATACTAACAAACTATTCAAAAAGTATAGATATTTTTCTTGACAAAGGAAGATTCATGATATATTAATGGAGGGAAAAGCAAGTTCCGTATGTATGGCATATAAACATATTTGCATGGAACACTTTAATATTTACAAAAATTTTAATAGTGGTCATCATTCAGGAGTGGGATTTTAAGTGACATTTTTCTTATCTGTACCCTCTAATTTTTCTATAATGATAATAAATTACAAATGAACGCACATATCACACATTACTGGCTTTTATAGAAATTACCCATAATGTGGTATCTTGTTATTATGATAATGAACAATGAAATACTGGGAATTATTCTGTGAAGTGAAGAAACTTGCTGCAAGGTATTACGAAGATTAGTATTGAAATCTAATTGGAAAACAGTTTTCTAGATCTCAAATTTATAGTAATTATATAGGAATAATAAGATGTGGACCTTTCTCTTAATCTTATCTCTCTTATCATATATGGAAATAGTGCATTTTGCCCTCCATTTTAGCACATTAGGAAATAGATCCATAAACTAATTCTGATTTCCCTGAGGTTAGTGATTTATAATTAATGACTTAATTTCAATATTTTCTCTCCTAGATCTTTCTCATGAGATTTCCTAACTCCTCTGTTTTGGCTCTGGGCCTGTGGCAGGAAACCTATCCTCTAAGTTTAGAATTTAGTTGGTTATTGTCCAGTTCAGTCTAGAGTGCATTTTACTCATTTCCAGTAATTTAACAAGTTACCTATAA